ACCATTTACTCTGCCACCGGAACTGGAGGAGGGGATGGATCCACCCACCAGCTCCTGGCCTTTGTGACAAGAGGAGCCTCCCACCCGGTGCAGTCCCAGGGCGATTGCCCTGCCCCAGGCTATCATCAGCTGCAGGCAGGTCCCCTGGTGGTTAAGACTGTGGGTGGACACCAAGAAGGGAGGCTTATGCAAAATGGTATGTCAGTTCAGTTGTTGCTGTTTGCTGCATAAAGGTGGGGCTCCCCCACTTTACTTTCATTCTGATTTGAGCCCTGCAAAAAAATAGGGCACTTCCCAAGGAAGAGGGAGAGGGAGGAAGGGAAACAGGATAGAAGAAATTGGAGGAAAAGGGGGAGAGGTTTGATAGAGGAGAGAAGGGGGGCACAGGAAGGAGAGAGGAGAATGTGGGGTGGGATGAACACTTAAGGGGAACAGAGGAGCGGCAGGGAGAGAGAAAAGCTCAGGGCTTCACCACCCCACCACCCACTGCTCTCAAGTTGATCCAACTCATAGCAACCCTCTAGGACAGAGTACAAGTGCCCCATAGGGTTTCCAGTGCTGCAAATCTTGACGAAGGTAAATCGCCTCATCTTTCTCCCATGGAGCAGCTACTTGCTGAATGTATAAAGGGAATAGTAGGAGTGGGGTGAACTTGCAGGCAATGCAACAAGGAGGCCTGGGGTGAGCGTGAGGGTAAGGGACCACGTTTTCAAGCCCCACTTCCCCAGTCGGCCGTGCTGGTCGCAGACTCCCTCCAAGGGCTCCCCAGACCACAGAACTGTCCAGATATCAGGTGCTGAAATGTCCAGCATTCAGACAAGTCCGTTCAGTCATTCAGCTACTTGCTATGCATCTACTGTATGACAGCCACTGGTCCAAGTGCTGGAGAAACCGGTAGTAAACAAAAGAGAGAAGATTTCCTGCCCTTTTGGAGCCTGTGTTCTGGTGGGGAGGAGACAAGAGAAGAAAGATACACAGTAATGTGTTAGAAAAGGTCAAAGTCTATGATGAAAAATAAAGCAGGAAGAGAATGAGGAGTTTAGCAAATGCACCCCAGGTAGCAGTTACATGTTGTTCCCTGTTGAGGTGACACAGTGATGTGGGATGCCCGGGCCAGGAGGGTGGCCTTCACATGAAGGATGCGCTGATACTGGGTCACGGGTCACTGGGACTCTCAGCTGGGTGACCTGTCAGAGGCCAAACCCCAACCCCTGCCCCAGAAAGCTGCCTGTTCCCTTTCTGGGGACCTCTCATTCCTCCACCTTCAGGACACCTGGGCCTCTACTAGACAAGGAAAACCGACCTGAAACCTGTGTGTCCTCATCTGCTTGGGCCTGCATGGTTTGAGATGCTGGACTCCCCTCTGCCCTGTGACAAAAGTCAATACAGGCAACCCACTTCCTCACCTTTGCCTCAGTTTACTCATGTACAGAGACAACGATCCGTGCCTAGTGAACAAGGTTTGGGGAGTACCAATGACAAAGTGATGGACCTCCATCCTCTGAGTCCCCAGTGCTCACACAGGGTCAAAGCCAGGAGACTGGAGTGACAGCAGCACTTGGCCGACATGCACATGAAACTTACCACTTTACCCTTCACCCTGCAGACACACTGGACCTAGAGGGCAGCCCAGGGACAGTAGAGACTGAGCCCAATGCTGGGCGGCCCGATACGGCCGGGGCAGTGGGTCCTCCGGAGGCAGCCTCTGCACCCTCGTCCTAGGAGACACTCGGGGAAGGAAAGGCCTGTCGTCAGTAAGCCTGGGACTCAGCACACGCTGGAAGATTCCAGACGCTCACTGCCAATGCCAGGCTCTGGGAAGATCTGACGGAAAACGCTGTTTAACTCCTGTGGCCATGAAGCCCCTCTCTGGTCCTTTCAGGAGGAACACCTATCGCCATCTGAAGAAGGTGCTTTGGGAAATGCTGGACAGGGCTTTAGGAAGGACTTGTAAATCCATATCCTGGGGAGCCAGTTTTCGGGGTTTATGGAGTTCTGTGATTTCAATGCCTAGTAAGGCGCCTATGTGCTTACATTGGATGAGTGAATGAATGAATGATGGAAGAATTCAGCGAAGGAATGAATTAATGAATATGCTGTTCTGCTCATTCCCACGTGGACAGAACAAGAAGAGAAAAGTGAAACTGAATCAAATCCCAAGGACTTGGCAGAGTAATTCTTGGTCCCTTCTAGATCACAAGTTTGGCTGAAGAACTGATGAAATTTACTTATCCATTTACCCTAAGACAACAGAGTGGTTAAGTGTGATGCTGAGTGTCAGCACTGGGAACCATGGCAACACACAGGAGGGGATGACTGACTAAATAAATGAGAGTGAAGGAGGTCAGGGAGGGCTTCCTGGAGGTGAGCCCGTAGGGCCCTATGGGGACTGACAGGGATCCCATGCCCAGGCCTTTTTTTTCAGCCACAGGAGTCAAACCTGGGGCTTCTTAGAATCTACAGGCAGCCAAGATCTGATGACTGTGGCCCCGGGTCTCAACAAAGCCCATGTTGGCCCCCTCTCCTTTGTGACTCAGGCCCCTTCCACATTTCCCCCTTGCTGTCAACTGCCTGTCAGGCCCCCACACCCAGCATTCTGAAAAGATCCAAAGAACAAGGTTCTAATGGCAAAATTCCAAGCAGAATGACAAGTAAATGGGGGGAGGGCTATGTGAGAGAGCAAGGGAACCCTGCCCAAAGCCCCCAAAATGCCATTCTCAGAAGTCGCAGGCCAGACACTCACCTCCAGTCTCCCAGCACCGTCTGCAAAGCAGCCTCTCAGCCCCTGCAAACTGGAGCATAAGTGGATCTCTAAACGGGAAGAAAAAATGCTTTATCATGTTCTGCTTCTCCGGGCAAAACCAGAAACGCCCTTCCCCCTCTTCCCACCTCCCCAGCGCACTCTCCTTCCAGTAAAACGTGGTTAAAGGGACAGTACCCCCACTTCCCCAGCTTGGAGGGTCTGCTTAGACCATGTCATGGGGAAGAAGGCAAAGGGCAAAAGAGAATAGAACTGCTGGAGGTGTGTCCTGGAGGCACGTTGGTCCCTGTCCTGGGGATCCCACACAAAAAAAATTTGGGTAAACTGGGGGGTGCAATCCAGGTGGAGATAACTGCCTGAAGAAGATTCAGATGGGAGGGGTCTACTCTGGCTCCATGGGGTCTCAGGGCTCCCGCATCCCAGGGGTCCTTTCAACTCCCAGTGGAGAAGCGAACAGCCCAGGAGTACGTGTAGCAGAACTTCACAGGCGATGGGGCTGAACCCCCAGCGGAGAGCTGAGGCTCTAGTCCCTGGCAGGCACCCCTCCCCAACTCTCCATCTGCATTACACAGAGGTCCGGCCAGCAGGATGGGTAACTCGGTCCCCCCACCCCCAAGCGGAAGCAGAAGTTAACCCTTTCCTCTACAACAAATAGGCGCTGTCCCCAGTGCTGAAGCGTTGCTGCGGCGCTACGCCCCCACTCCCAAGGTTGTTAACAGGAGACAAATCCAGAAGGAGACATGTGATATCTGCAGTTTCAATCCCCCCTCCAAATCCTGGGACACACCCCATCAGGACTGATGGGGGTGAGGGACTCTGGTATCCTAAAAGCATGCCACCATTTATGGCAGGAGGAAGGGCAAAAAGGGCTGCCTACCTAGGAAGCCACTTGTCTGTGGTGCAGTGGCAGCTGAGATGATGAGGCGGAGGGAGGTGAACTTCCTAGTTGTGGGAAAGTGGCTGCCTGGTCCACAAGGCAGTACCTGTGTCCTCTTCCCCCTTCCAGCAACACTTCAGCCGGTCACCCCCAAATATGAAGTTAATGGAGGAGTTGGGGATCTAGAGTTGCAGCCTGTTCCCCAGGGCAAGATCCCCTTCGTCGTTCAGATGGAAAAACCGAGGTGTGTGCGCGTGCGGCGCAACTTGGCCAAGGTCATACAACCTATAGTCAGTAAGTCTGCAAAGCTGACCCTTGTGTGCAGACCCCTGGCCCGAGGACTTGTAGCACACCTGCCACCTCTCCCCACCCTGCACAGTGCTCAGTAAGGACCTCCCAAGTGCGGGTCTCCCAACTTTCTACTGAGTCCCCCACAGCACCCCCACTCTGGGTTCTATGCCCTTCACATACAGCCCAGGTACCCCAGCCCCTTCACTGAACCTAGCTAAGGCCAGCTCCATCTCCCAGCTCCCTCCCCGGGGACACGCTGGACCATTTGGGGAACACAGTGCCTAGGGTTCCTTTCTCCAACTTCTGCAGTGTCACCCACACCCCCACTCAGGGTGGCCTGGCCACCCTCTCCAAGCCCATGTCCCCCTCCACTACCCCGTAACCGGCTGCTGAGTTTCTCAAGAGCTCTCCTGGGGGGATCCTCTAATAATTAGGGGAACCCTGTACTTCCATCCAGGGGTCCCCATCTCCATCTTCTGTACGGTCCACCATCCCCCAATCTGGGTTGTCTCACTCCCTCTCCGATTCCAGGCCGGCTGCATAGTGTCTACACTCCCCATCCTCGGGGTCCCTCTAACTAGGAGGGAAACCCCAAATCCTTTCCATGTTACGACCGTCTCCCACTGACTTCAGGGTCTTCTAAAAATCATACGGAGAGCAAACTTCCTCTTATTCCCATTCTGGTCACCTAGTCCTCTCCCCACTTCGGGTCTCCTCCCCTATTTGGAAACAGCAGCAGGGTCTGCCAACCCCTACCCAGGGGTTTGCACCAGTCCACTTCAGGCGTCTATGCCCTGACCCACCCTCGGGGAGGGGGCTCCTCTGTTACTCTCTCGGTTCCCCTTCACTCTGGGGTCCCCCTGCCCCGCCCCTGTCACTGCGGCTGAACCGGACGGCCCCGGTCGCGGGGGTGGAGGCGGAGAGGGCGGGGCCCGCCCCCCCCAACAGCCGAGGGGCCGGGCCGACCCGGGCCGGTTGGCTATAAAAGTGCCGGCGTCCTGGTGCTGCCGCAGTGCGGTCCGCCCTGGCCCCGCTAGCCCGCTCCGCTCGCGGCCCGCACCTGTTCCGGCCATGATGAGCTTCGGCAGCGCGGACGCGCTGCTGGGCGCCCCGTTCGGGCCGCTATCCGGAGGCGGCGGCTTATACTACTCTCTGGGCCGCAAGGGCGGCGCCGGCAGCGCGCGCTCCGCAGCCGGCTCGTCCAGCGGCTTCCACTCATGGGCGAGGACGTCCACGAGCTCCGTATTGGCCTCTCCCGGCCGATTCCGCGGCGCGGCCGCCGCCTCGAGCACCGACTCGCTTGACACTCTGAGCAACGGACCGGAGGGCTGCGTAGTGGCAGCGGCGGCGGCACGCAGCGAGAAAGAGCAGCTGCAGGTGCTGAACGACCGCTTCGCGGGCTACATCGACAAGGTGCGGCAGCTCGAAGCACACAACCGCAGCCTGGAGGGCGAGGCAGCGGCGCTGCGACAGCAGCAGGCAGGCCGCGCCGCCATGGGCGAGCTGTATGAGCGCGAGGTGCGCGAGATGCGCGGCGCCGTGCTGCGGCTGGGTGCGGCGCGCGGCCAGCTGCGCCTGGAGCAGGAGCACCTCCTGGAGGATATCGCACACGTGCGTCAGCGACTTGACGACGAGGCCCGGCAACGCGAGGAAGCCGAGGCAGCAGCGCGTGCACTAGCGCGCTTCGCGCAGGAAGCCGACGCGGCGCGAGTCGAGCTGCAGAAGAAGGCGCAGGCACTGCAGGAAGAGTGCGGTTACCTGAGGCGCCACCACCAGGAAGAGGTGGGCGAGCTGCTCGGCCAGATCCAGGGCTGCGGCGCCGCGCAGGCGCAGACGCAGGCCGAGGCGCGCGACGCCCTGAAGTGCGACGTGACGTCGGCGCTGCGCGAGATCCGCGCACAACTCGAGGGCCACGCGGTGCAGAGCACGCTGCAATCTGAGGAGTGGTTCAGAGGTGCGCAGGCGTGGGGAAAGGGGCACGGTTAGAGGGTGCGCTCGCGGGTTCCTCGGGGAGGGCGCACCGATTGGCCTCTGCATGCACTCCGCTTAAATAACCAAAAAAACCCCAAAAAGCACTGCTGTCGAGTCGGTTTCGACTCATAATGACCCCAAAGAAATGAAGGCAGTATCTCTACAGAAGTAGATGGCACAGACTTCCTTCCGAGGAGTGGCTGGTGGGTTTGAACCACCAGTCTTCTGGTTAGCAGTCAAATGCCTTAGGCATTATGCCACTAGGGCTCCTAATACTGGGTTTCATTCTGATTGCTTTGTGGGCACCACCCAACTCTGAGCTCTCCTTTGCCTGCACTCATTCGTGGTCCCGTCGGCTCTCCTCCTGTTTTGGGCACTCTGCTCGCCTGTCAAGATTCCTCCCCTGCAGCTCCAAGGAATTTCTGGTCAGCAGGCTGGCGCTGGGGACACTTCACGCTTCAAAATAGTTCGCCTTCCCTGCTCAGTACTGCCCATCCCCCCTTTTTGCATACTGCTGGGGACCCCATTCTCTTGACCCCCACTGCTCCGCCCTTAGTTAGGTTTGGGTTGTTAATGTCTCCTCTTTGGTTCAGAGAAGCTGAGAGACTTCTAAACTCTCCCCTCCCCCAGCTCCCGTTGCCTCCCTGCCCTGAGTCTGCTAGGCTGCCGTGCCTTGTTTTGCCGGAACCTTCACCCACACCTGCCTCTCTGGCCTTCATCTCTTTGGGGTTAAAAGAGGGGATGTACCAGTTGAGCACCTTAATTCAGGAAGGACCATGATCCCTCTGGAAGCTATCAGTAAAACTTTGTGCATTTATCTGGCGGTAGGGTGCAGAGGTTGCAACAATTTTCATCTGGGTCCATGACCCCAAATGAATGACAATCCTCATTCAGCTTGATGGTGTTGCAGGCTGTGCAGGACACTAGCAGGGGGAGCTAAGACCGCTGGGGTTTGAGTTCCTGGCTTTTCTCCCTCGGTATCATCCCTCCCCCATCTTTCCAGCAAGGCTCCACCCGGAGCAAACCTCTGCTCTCCTGGACTTGGTCCTTCACAAAGGAGTCAGGCCCTTAAACCACTGTCTGGTAGTTAAGAGTGTGCACTTTTGGGAGAGGTCGACCAGTATCCAGAGCTTCACTGCCTCCAGCAAGTCTTCTGAGAACCCAGAGCCCCTTGCTGTCAGGGACCAGGTTGTGACCTCTATTGGCTCATGGTGGTGGGGGTGGCTCCTGTTGTAAAGAATATGCAGGCAGGTGCAGGATGGGACAGAGGGACTAGGCACACAGGCCCCGGAGTTCTGCAGTGACCTTGGGTCCTGCATAGAAACCCGCAGAGAAGGGCCTGTGGTAACATGGCAGCCTGATTACTTGAGACACCCTTAGGCCTGCGGAGGTTGCAGGCACATAAACTAGTTGAGCCACAAAGTCAGAGTTAAGCCCCATGCACCAGGAATCACATCTGAATCCAGACACTGCAGGCTTTTGCTGAGGAGTTACCAGGCAGAAATGGCAGCTTATGGATTCTGACTGGGGCGGGGGGGCAGTGTCTCATCTTTGGAGCCAGTCAGACACTGGATTTGAATCCAGCTCTGCCACTTCTTGCTGGGTAGTGTGGGGCAGCAGTCGCTTGTCTGTCACATAGGATGTAGTGAGTTAAGCATGCAGGCTAGTGCCTGGCACACAGTGGGTCCTCAACCCATGCACACTGCCTTCTGGATCTGGCCACTGGATTCCAGGTTCATTCGGGTGTGGGACCCTGTGTCTTGTCCCCTCTTCCCCCAGTGAGGCTGGACCGACTGTCGGAGGCGGCCAAAGTGAACACAGACGCCATGCGCTCAGCACAGGAGGAGATAACTGAGTACCGACGTCAGCTGCAGTCCAGGACCACGGAGCTGGAGGCACTCAAAAGCACCAAGGACTCGCTGGAGAGGCAGCGCTCTGAGCTGGAGGATCGGCATCAGGCAGACATCGCGTCCTACCAGGTGAGCAGGGACGGGGCAGAGAGACACACTACCCCACCTGGCTGGGTGATCCAGGACCAGTCAGGGCCCCTCTCTGAGCAGGGATGTATGATGGTGAAGAGCATGGGCCTTGGAGTCAGATTTACCATGGTACCAGTACTTTCTAGCTGTGTGACCCCAGGACAGTTATTTACCTCTCTGAATCAGTTTTCTTGTCTGTAATGAAGAGAGAAAGAGGGGGAAAAAAAAAAAAAAAATCTCTTGCTTTGCAGAGCTATGAAGATGAAGTGAGATATCCCAAATTTAAATGACATGGAGGGCCTGGAAGTGCTCAGCCATATCTTGGTCACTGTAAGCATTCAGTAAACAGTAACCATAGCACCTGTGAGTCTGTAGCTTGCAGTAGGCCTTAGCAGAATCCCATTAAAGGCAACTGGTGGAAGTAAATGTCCTTTTCAAAGACTTTATTCAAGTAATGAGCCACTATAGAAACATTCAGAAAACGAGAAAATAATAATCACCCATAATAGTTTATTTTAAGCATGGCTGCAGTGGGATTGGTGGAGTGGGGGAGAAGTTTGTTTTGTTCTGTTTTTCTCTTTTTTTTTTTATTGTGATTTGGGGAAAGTTTACACAGCAAATTCATTTTCCATATAGCAGTTCATGCACATTTTGTTTCATGACTTTGACTGCAATTCCCCATGATATAACAGCTCTCTTCCCACTTCCTGGGGGAGAAGTTTTTGTGTTTAACATACATTCGTGTGTTGTCACAATCATCAACAAGAGGTGCTTACTAAGCCCTTACCATGTGGCAGGCACTTTGGGGCATTGGGAAAATAAAGAGCAGCAAAGGAACCCAAGTCCCTGCTCCCAAAGAGCTTGGATTTGTTGCTGAACATTGAAGATATCTGTAAAAATATGACTCATCAGCCTGTCACAGGGATAACCACTGTTGGCATCTGGTGGGTTTCGTTCCAGACCTTTCCCCAGGCTGAGATTATACACATGAGAACTCTTGTTCCAGGTGATATTATCTTTGCCCACAAATGAGAACCCTGCGTCTTTGACAGGGTGGGAGTTGGCTGCAGCGAGCCCTGGCTGGGCAGGGCAGCTCTAGATTTGCCCACCAGTACCGTCTTCCCTGGTGCTGAAGGCTAGGCTCTGGCTGGTGCGTGATGTGTGTGACCTCTCCTCTCCAGGAAGCTATTCAGCACCTGGATACCGAGCTGAGGAACACCAAGTGGGAGATGGCGGCCCAGCTCCGAGAGTACCAGGACCTACTCAATGTCAAGATGGCTCTGGATATCGAGATTGCCGCTTATAGGTGACGTGGGCTGGGGGCCTTCGGGGTGGTGGGGATCAGCCCCTGAGCTCTTATAAGGCGCTAAAGCCTTGGGTTTCAAGCCCCAGCTAGGTAGCTGCCTGTCTTAGAGGTAAAAATCTTAAGAGTGACTTATTTTCATTTTGCAAGTGACTTAGAGGGTTAAAACCACCCACTGCCTCCCCAGATTTAGTCAGCTTGAGAGGGAAAAGAGCTACTTGTAGTTGAGGTCTTTTTTAACCTTGTCCCTTAGATTTTCTTTGTTCTCTGAACATTTGTTTCCTGGGGAAATAAAATGAGGGTGATAATAAGAGTACCCACGTGGTGGGGGTGCTGGGAGGATTTCGTGAGCTAATTCAGGGAATGCAGGTACTGTTGGACTGCTGTAGTAAATGGTACCTGTGAGGCAGCCAGCCCCAAGGAATGAGACCTCCCAACTTAAGCTTCATTTAGATGCTTCCTTCTCCTAAGAAGGAAGACTGGGCAATCTACTTCCGTAGAGATACTGCCTCGGAAACCCAAGGAGGGGTCGCTATGAGTCGGAAACGACTCGACGGCAGTGAGTTTGGTTTTTGGTTTAGCAGGTAGGCTGACACCACGAAGACCTGCCCGAGTTGCTCAGTAGTGACCCTTCACTTCCCACCCCTTGGCTGTCTAGTGTTGCTCCTCAAAGTGTGGTCTGTGAACCAGCAGCATCTGAAGGTTTATTAGCAAGGCAGAATCTCAGGCCTCATCCCAGACCCGTTGCATTAGAGTCTGCATTTTGATAAGATCCCTGGCCACTAAATTTGGGGAGCACTGGTCTATGAGGTAGCCCCTACACTTCTCTCAGGTAGGCCCTCTGCTAAGTCCCTTTCATTTAGTATCACACTTAAACAACCACATGAGGTAGGGCTCTTATGACCCTCTCACCAGTGAAGAATCTGAAGCTTAAAGAGTTTGGCTTGGCCAACGTCTCCCATCTAGTGAGTTGCAAGGTTGAGAGTAGAAACTGCATCATCCTACTCCTAAAACCCAAAGGATGAGAATAAGGTGACAAGAGACCCCTCAAATTCCAATGGGAACATTCTAAGACCTCTTAAACTCAAATTTATAAATGTTGTTGTTTGCTCAGGCCCCCAGCATTCTCTTGAGTCACATTTTAATCGAGGAACGCCTAATGTAGCTTTTGTTAATGGAGGAGCTCTCTCTTGAACGCCATTTTTCAGGGGAAAAGTCGTTTTATTTCATGAGTTTTAACATTAGATGAATTAAATAAGAGCAACGTCTTTGGGGTACAGATTCTAGGTGGTAAATGGGATTATTTGCTAAGTAATGTTCTCCAGTCTCAAAGTGTCCACCATTCATATTCATTCCTTTACCAACATGCATATCATTGGACACCATAGACCTTTACAGTAACCTAGGAAGACCCTAAATGGACAGATCTGCAATGAGTTAATGATAATGTCTTTTGTTTTCCTTCTGCAGAAAACTCCTGGAGGGAGAAGAGTGTCGGATTGGCTTTGGCCCAAGTCCTTTTGCCCTTCCTGAAGGACTCCCCAAAGTTCCTTCCATAGCCACTCACATAAAGGTCAAAAGTGAAGAGAAGATCAAGGTGGTAGAAAAGGCAGAAAAGGAAACTGTGATTTTGGAGGAACAGACAGAAGAGATACAGCTAACTGAAGAAGTGACAGAAGAAGAGGAAAAAGAGGCTAAAGAGGAAGAAGAAGAGGGAGAAGAGAAGGAAGCAAAATCTCCAGCAGAAGAGGTATCCCCAGAGAAGGAGGTCAAGTCCCCTGTGAAGGAAGAAACAAAATCACCCACCAAGGACAAGACCCCCGAGAAGGAAGAGGCTAAGTCACCAGCTGAAGTCAAATCTCCAGAGAAGGAAGAGGCTAAGTCACCAGCTGAAGTCAAGTCCCCAGAAAAGGCCAAGTCCCCTGAGAAGGAAGAAGCAAAATCTCCAGCTGAGGCCAAGTCCCCTGAGAAGGCCAAGTCCCCAGTGAAGGAAGAGGCTAAGTCTCCAGCTGAGGCCAAGTCCCCAGAGAAGGCCAAGTCCCCAGTGAAGGAAGAGGCTAAGTCTCCAGCTGAGGCCAAGTCCCCAGAGAAGGCCAAGTCCCCTGTAAAGGAAGAGGCTAAGTCTCCAGCTGAGGCCAAGTCCCCTGAGAAAGCCAAGTCTCCTGTGAAGGAAGAGGCTAAGTCTCCAGCTGAGG